ATCTATTGTGCTGTTTTACATAAAATATAATGCACCTTTGAGTATTTCCTGTAGAGCAGGTCTAGTAGCAACAAATTCCCTTAGTGTTTGCTTGTCTAGAAAAGTCTTTATTTCTCCATTATTTATTAAACTTAGTTTTGCAGGATAAAAAATTATTGAGTGTCAGTTGTTCTGTTTAAGAAGACTAACAATAGGGCCCCAATCCCTTCTGGCTTTTAAAGTCTCAGTTCGGAAGTCTGCTTTTAGCCTGGTGGGTTTTCCCTTATAGGTTACTTGTTTTTATCTCACAGCTTGTATAATTTTCTCCTTCATTTGGACTTTGTTCAGGTTGATGATTATGTGTCTTGGAGATGTCCTATTTGCTATAAATCTTACTGGTATTCAATGAGCATCTTGTATCTGGGTATCTAAATATCTGGCAATACCAGGGAAGTTCTCCTTAATAATTCCCTCAACTAGTTTCACAATATTTTCACTTTTCTTCTTCTCCTCTCTTAAGGATACCTGTAATTTGTATATTGACTCCTTTCGCATAGTCCCGTATTTCCCTGAGTGATTGTTCTTTGTTCTTTTTCGTGATCTTTGACTGACTGGGTTAGTTTGAAAGCTTTGTCTTCAAGCTCTAAGATACCTTCTTCTGCTTGGTCTAATCTGTTGTTGAGGCTTTTTGCAATATTTAATAATTCCCTAAATGACTTTTTAATTTCTTTTAAGTTCTGTTATATCCTTTCTTATGTTATCTATCTCTTTAATGAGTTTTTCACATTTTTCATTCATGTCCTGAAATATATTTTTAGTTATTTTGTTTTAGTTTTCAACTTTCTCTTCAATTCCATTGATCTTGTTTGCCATCCATATTCTGAATTTCGTTTCTGACATTTTGACAGTTTCCTTTCGTTGTGGGTCTGTTGTTATGGATCTGTTGTGATCTTTTTTGGGTGTCAATCTAGCTTGTTTTTTCATGTTGCCATGATTATTGTACTGGTTCTTCTCATCTGAAACCTCTTCTCTGAGCTGAGGGCTGATAGGTTTGCAGCACACCTGTTGTCCTTTGCTGGGAACTCTCCTACTTAGTGAGAAGGAGGAGAAATTCCTAGATTGTGCTTCTGTGTCCTACTCTGGAGGATTGATCTGGCGGGAGAGGGGTGGATACACTGAGAGCCTGTAACACAGCTGTTCTCCTGAATCATCCCATTTCTCCGTGGTTGTCACAGTCCAGGGTGGTACTAGGGGATATTCATTTAGATTGGTGGATTCGTTTGGATTGGTCCCTAGGCCACTGTTGAAAGCTCGTGCAAGGGGCTAGGCAGGTCCCTCTCCATGGAGGTATGTGGCATGATCTTCACTGGTACTTGGGCAGGTCACAGAACCTTGATGCGCACCTGGACTCATACACAGCACTGCAGCCAGTGGCAGGGCATGCCACAGGACCTTGGCAGGTGCCTGGACAGTCTTGCTACTTTGATTTATTTGTTCAAAATAAATATCTGAGTATTTGCAGATACTCACTGAGTACAAGCTCTTTATGCCTAGGCCTGAAGTGACCACGCTGAGCCTTTTGTCCATTTTGAAATGAGTCATTTATTTTTCTTACTTTGGAGTTGAGTTCCTTATGTATTTTGGATATTAACCCTTTACCAGATTTATAGTTTGCAAATATTTTTTTTTTTTTATGTTCACTAGGTTGTCTCTTCACTCTGAAATTTTTTCCCCATGTGGAGTTTTTAGTTTGTGTAATTCTGTTTGTCTGTTTTTGCATTTCTTGCCTGTGCTTTTGAGGTCATATCCAAAAAATGATTTCCCAGACCAACGTCATGAAGCTTTTCCCATATATTTTCTACTAGTAGTTTCATAGTTTCAAGCCTTACATATAGGTGTTTAATCCATTTGAAATTGATTTTTTTTTCATATGGTGAGAAATAAGGGCCTAATTTTATTCTTCTGCATGTGGATATCCACTTTTCCCAGCAGTGTTTATTGAAATGATTGTACTTTCCTCATGGTGTGTTTTTGGCACCTTTGTCAAAAATCAATTTGTTGTAAATGCATGGATTTATTTTTGGGTTCTCTACTCTGTTTTGTTGGTCTGTTTTTTATGCCACTACAATGCCTTTTTTGTTACTATAGCAGAAGCTTTTCTAGTTGGAGACTTTAACCTTAGTGAGGAGATCAAAATCATCATTCCAAAAAGAACCATATTATTAGTGGATCCATATGATTAACTTCTGTTCCTTATTGATTATAACATGATACATAGGAATATTAAGAGATTACTAGCAAATGTCTTGTTTTTCTGATATAAATCTACTTGCTTCCCATTGCATAGGATCAACTCAAGTTATCCTTTGTGGTTAAGTTCAGTACAGTAATGCCTTCCTTTGTTGATTTAGCAGTATGAGGATCCCAACGTGAAGTAGGAACATCTCAACTTCTAGATTAAAGAAACCATCTCTGAGTTTCTTATTAACAATTTCATCTTTAAGTCAAATTTCTTACTGATGAACAGGTAGTTTACTGATAAGCAAGGAAAAGAGGCTAAAATAAACTATGTGGTATGAATTAAGTGGAGACATTAGTATGAACTCAAATTCAGCTTAATGTAAGTACAGATGATTACATATTAAAGTACTTATTGGTGACTATACATACATCCATTCTTTCTTCTGTCAACCCAGAAGTCCTAAATGCAACAACATCCCAGAAGCAATGAGCACACCCAACAACAGGATCTTGGCTTCCAATATTATTCTCCAATAAAGGAACCCAGGACACTGTGAAGAAATGGCTAATTATACAAGTAGGACAGGAAATATAGGAAATGAGCGGGGTGCATTTTGTACTGCCAGATAGTTGGGACATGCTCAAACCCCCTCCCTCAAAAAACACATTAATGGGGTATATTAAAGGAGCCAATTGAAAGAGCTTCCAATGTCTAAGCTGAAACAATTTGAGCTAAAACAAAAAGGAAAAATTAATATTGGATTTAGTCTGCGGTATAAAATAACCATACATGAGTCTATACTATAAGTAGGTAATTGTATAAGTAAATAAATGGAATAGAGACAAATATCTTGTGCAGGAGAATTCCAAATAACTTAGGTAGCTACTTTGCCCTTAAGGAACTCACCAGTTCTTAAGTGTTGGCTATATAGAGTGACTTTCTTATATTAAAAAAAAAAGTGTAGAAAGGGGAAGGAGGATTAATTTTACAGTAAAAAGAAAACCTGACACATATTACTTTAGCCAGATGATAGAAGTTAGCATCAACACTGATAAGTCATGTTGAGCATGTATATTCTTGATGTAATATAATTAAAATGACCCATTACATCTGTGGTCTTTCTCTCAAAAACCCATAACCCCAGGCTAATTATGAGAACAAAACATCAGATGAATTCCTTTTTGGGGGTGGAGGGAGGCATATTACAAAATTCCTGCCTAGCCAGTATTCCTTAAAACTTTCAGGAAAATTCTAACAAATTGCTACCGCCAAAAGCAGACTAAGGAGATAGGGCAACTAAATGTAATATGGAATCTTGGAAGAGATGCTAGAATAGAAAAAAAGTTTAAATATAAAAATATCAGAATTGAATATAGACTCCAGTTAATAATAATGCACAGATATTGGTTCACTGATTGTAACAAATGTTCCATGTTAATGTAAGATGTTTGTAAAATGAGAGACTAGCCATGAGGTATATGCTAGTCCTCTATATTACATTCTCATTATTTTTTGGTAAATCTGAAGCTGTTCAAAAAAGTTTTATTTAAAAAACACTCAGTTATGTGTGTGTAAATGTGCTGATTAATGGAAAATTCTGGTAACAATTTCAGAGTCATAATAATTCCTAATTCAAATTATGTCTTTTTAAGATCAGTGTTCATTATATTATGGTTTTGAAAAATGCTTGAAACATGACTTTTATAAAGACTATTTACCTTAAAATGTGTATTAACACTTAGGATTTGCATCTCAAATTTTGGATGGATTAGCGAATGGACCTCAATTTGTATTTTCATCTTAAATGTAAAGTTGTGTGATTAACTGGCAAGGTGTTATACTATGTCCCTGATGCTGGTTATTTAATTGAGAAGGTTTGAGAACTTGGGTTTTGGGCTTATAGATGGGCTGTGAACCTAGGCCTTTGTATTACCCAGCCTGCTATTTTCTACATCTTCGGGGAAAAAAAATACCCTTTCACTTATCTATTTCTGCATATCAAATGACTTCAAATTTAGTGGCTTAAAATAAAAATTTATAAATTCATTGTGATTCTGTAGATCAAAACTACAAGCGAATTTCAGCTAGATTTTTTTTCTACTCACAGTGATATAGCTAGGGTCATTCCTTGGCCTTCACTGAGCTAGAAGCTCACTTCTCAGATAGCATTTGATCCTCCAAGGTCACTCTTACTTGGTCTTGAATCCATCAGTAATCTAGCCTGGCCTTCATTACAGTGTGGAATCTGGGCTTCAAGATAGAGAATTCATGTGCTGCTGGTTCCTTAACAGCCTACATTGGAACTGATAAAGTATCATATTATGCCACATTTTATTGGTCAGAACAAGTCTTGAGGCCAGACCATATTCATGGTGATGGGAAGTAGACCTCATCTATTGATACGAAGAGTGACAAGTGATGTTTAACAATAACACATACTAAAGTAATGGCAGTATGAAAACCAATTGCCAAGATGTACTACTAACTCAATTATCAGAGATGATTTGCACTTTAGTTAGCACATTCACATTTACTTGGCTATGGGAAACTTTCTAGTGATCAGGATGTTAACTGTTATAAATCTGAAAAAGAATAGCTTCAGGGGCGATTGATAGTGGGCTTTACTTACATTTTTCTTAATGTCCATCAGATGCCAAAAAAAAAAAATGTATGCATGATGTAAATTATAAAGTCTGGTATTTTACTTAGTTGTATATTTGGTAATAATAAGTAAAAGTGCTTTAATAGAGGCAATAATAGACTTCTTTAAACTTTCCAGTTTACATAAAGTTTTAATGGATCTTCAGAATCAGAAACTAAAAGAATTAAATGACTGGCTAACAAAAACAGAAGAGAGAACAAGGAAAATGGAGGAAGAGCCCCTTGGACCTGATCTTGAAGACCTAAAACGCCAAGTACAACAACATAAGGTTAGTATATTGTATGCTGCATGCTTTCTACTAGAAAACAAAATCTATGTGTATATGTAATACACAGATGTCATGGTTCACAAGAAAGAATTAAAGCTTCAAATTAGCAATACTTTAAAATTATTTTATCTAAGAGATTTTTGTAATCTTTGTTGCTGTGCTTTGAATAAGTTCCCTCCAAATTCAGCTGTTGATAATGTGATAGTATTAAGAAGTGGGTTCATTAAAGAGTGATTAGGCCAGCAAGGCTACCCTTTTCTGAATGGGATTAAGGTTTTTATAAAAGAGACTTTAGGTAGCCTTTGGCTATCTCTTGCCTTTCCACCTTTCACCATGTGAAGACACTGCAATAAAGCCCTCAGTAGATGCTGGCACCTTGATCTTCGATTTCTCAGCTTCCAGAACCGTGAAAAATAAATTTCTATTCTTTACAAATTACCCAGTTTCCAGTATTTTTGTAAGAGCAGCACAAACTAGTCTAAGAAATATTTTTCCAAATGAAACATAAACTAGGATTTTCATATTTAAAAAAATCAAACATATTCCTGGAAGAGAACAGTGTACCAGTGTACTGTATGTAATTTATTAAAATTGTGCTTTCATAGAAGAGAGCTTCTGCAGGGATTACCTGGAATACAAGTTTAAATAATAAGAGTAAGGCTTTTTTTTTTTTTTTTACATATTTTTACTTTCAATTCATAATACCTTTTAGCAGGGCAAGCATGATGAAAAATTAGAATCTGTAACATTGCATTACTATAAAATACAAAATCTTCGAATTTTAATATTTCCATCTTACCTGTCTTCAGTTTATTTGTACATTTACAGTTATGCTCCATGGTTGCCAAGAAGCATTTTGTGTTTCTGTGATTGGGATTTCTATAAGAATATTTCTGATCCAAAATTGTGAGGGAACTTCATTCTAATAATCACTCTAAAGTATTAAAACTAGCTCTGAGTTTTATCATTGGAACAGGGACTTGTTCAGTCCATGAGGAGACACACACACAGAAGAAGCATTATGGTGGGTCCATGATTAGTGTTGCCACACTTAGCAAATAAAAATATAAGAAGCCTCATTAAATTGAAATTTCAGATGAACAACAAATAATTTTCTTAGCGTATGTCCCAAATTATTCATTGTTTATCTGAAATTCACATTTTGTTGGATTTCCTTTATTTTCTCCGACTACTCAAGATCTGTGGTTCTTGGATTTATGGCTTTGAATGGGGATATCTGCTCCCTTATCTCATACTACCAAGTCTGCTTTTTGTCCAACTTCATTCTCTTTTTGTATTATAACATTTTATTGGATGTTTTATGGTTCCTCCAGGTAGATAAAACATATATTTCTTTCTAAGTTCTAGAGTTGTTTTTTTTTTTCTTATGTAATGAGCTTTAGGTTTCAATGACAAATGGGGCAGCTCTTGCTGCTATTACCCCCAACAATCCACTGGCTAAGAACTTTAAGGTCATGCATTTAAGGAAAGCTGTAGCTGTGGTAATCCCCATAATACAGCATCAGGAAAAAATATCAACTGTATTATAACTATCATATGGAAATTATGACTATAATAGGTTAATTTTTCACATACATCTCATAAAGAAGTTATAATCCAATGCTAGTTATCTAACTCTACCAGTTTGCCTGCATGGAGCATGCACTATTCTAGTTGACACTGTGCTTGCCCTCTTCCCTTTGGCCCATACTGGAAGTTGCATGCAGACACTTTCTTTATACATCAATGGCTTCTGTCTTGGGACATTTGCTGACATAGGAGCATTTCAGCCAGTTTGAAGGTGGACAGGAAATGGAGTTATTGCCACCAGAGCAGTCTTTAACCAATGAAAGTTGATGGATGAAGCCCACAGAATCTGTGTCCCATGGTGAGACAATTCCAAGATGTGTTCCCCACAGTCTATAAGATTCCCCAGCAAAACTGAGCCCCAGATGTCCACAGGATAACTTGCATGTTCTCATACTCATAATGCCTCATGAAATCACCTCCCAAATGAACTATTTGTTTCTAAATCTTTTGCTCAGGAATTGTTTTTGGAGGAACCTAACTTAACATGACCTTCTGGCCCTGGAAGCCAGCATTCTACTTCCAGCTCTACCACTAACTGAATTTGTGATTTTTCAGAAATCACTTAGTCTCTCAGGTTCTTCATATCATCACTTTGGACATTAAAGTGTTGAGCCAGGTGGTTTCTAGTGTTTCTTCCAGTCATGGTTTTATTGTGTCCAATAGTTTTGGAACAGGAGGTATTTTAGAAAAGGGAGAAATTAGGCCAGTAACACTGAACATCAGAAGGTAGGATGCTGGCACTGGATGCCTGAAATATAAAAAGAAAGCCAGGAAAAAGGGCTCCAAAAGAGAAGCAGAAAATGAATGTTCAGTTGCCATAAGGTTGGATAATTTAGAGTAACTAAGTTACTCTAAGAGGAAAGGTGTTAGCTTGGGATTCTGAACAGACTCTTCATTAAGGTTAGATAGACCATTCAGAATCTTCATTTTCTTACAATTGCCTTGAATGTTTTGTACTTTCCTCTGGAAGATATAAAGTGAATTAAATAGAAAGTGTTTGACTAATATTGCCATAAAGTTTGATAGATTGTCCATTACTAGAAAATAAGCTATCTCTGATGAGTATGAAATTGCTTGAATAAAATAATTTGAAACAAATAACAGGATTATATGTAAGTTGATTATATAATATTTTATATCTAGGAATTATTCATATAAAGTACATAAAGAGAATAGAAGGAATTGGTTTACTGGCTCAGAGAATGAGGCCAACTCCTACCTTTAACTATTCAAACACATTTCAAGAAGCATCATTTTTTATCAAATTAAGACAAGGGAACTACTCATAGTCAAGAGAAGGCCTGACCATTGATAATACACTCTCGTATTACATGGAAATAATTTTGGTGAGACGAACATAACAAAATCAAACAATTCAAAAAAGAGTCAAATTTATTTAAACATGAAACATGTACAGTAAGTACACATTAAAAGGAATAAGTTTTGTTAGTCTTGCCATCCTTCATAAAATGAAAGAAGGTAAATTTCTTCTTTAGGTATCTGAGTTCAAACTAAAGCCTTATTTAAATAGTCATTGGATCACTTTGTAGCTTCTCATCTCAAGAATTGTAAATCAATGAAAATAAGGAAATTTATCCTTCTGGCAACAAAATACATCAGTAACTTTGGAGTATCCAAAAAGTCACTCTCCCCCTGCTGTATCACCACACTTTTAACCTAATATAATATTTAGATTATTTATTTGTAGCTTTGAATAGATAAATATTAAATCCTTGAGCCATCCCCATTGTTTTTCTGAAAGATGGTTACAAATGGCAAAATTAAAAAAAAAAGGTACAGGCTTCATTGCTGGGAATCGATTTAAATTCTGCTCAGATCAGAGGGCATGCACTCTCTCTCTCAATTGGAGGGCAAGATAAAAATGTTTGCAAATCTTGTAAGTACACCGTGAATATTACAGATATGCTTCTGTATATTTTGTGACAGGACCCTTTGCTATCTCCATTTCAACAGCATTTTATTAGGAGGCAGGCTAGAAATTCAAACACTGAAATGCCATGAAGATAAGTCACTTTTACTGAATCTGACAATTAGGCAATGTAAAGGAATTGATCCTATATTGATGGTTACTATTAAATCTAGCCAAACTGTTAACTCTGGGTAACTGAGAAAAGTTCAGTTGGCTGCACAATTTGGAAGAGATCATTCATTATTTAGCTATTGCTTTGGGGAGAGTATTTAGAGGGTTGCTTTAGATCTGAGGCACCCAAGAGTAATTCTCTCTGGAGAGTGAACAAATAAAACCTCTATTCCCCTGTGAAGAAACAGGTCAGAAATAATTCTAGCTGGTCATATCTGTCTTAAGGGATGGACTTCATTAGTGATATTGATAAGGGATGAAAGGATTTACCTTGAAGGGGTGGTGATACTATTGAGGAGTAAAAGCCTTGAGCTTTCAATAATGGGGAAGAAATTTGCCATTTTAGAAGGCATTTTCATCAAAAGGAAAATATTCAACTCTGGAATCTTTTGTCTCCTGCTATAGTCAGACTGGGACAGAGTTTGAAGTTCAGTTTACTAGCTAGATTTCCAATCCTTTTGAAAGATTTAGACTTTCATTATAGATACATTGTCTTAGTGACAGCTTTATCAAAATCTTTGCAAATTATTCAAATTTGCAGATGTAAATGTAACATGTGCACTGTATTCTGGCTCCAGTGAGTGTTCTGTGTTAAACACTGACTAATACAAATTAAATAACCTCTTAGAAGCTCAGACATCTATTCTTTCCTTGCAGCTTAGTTAATCTCAAACATTTGGGTTGCCAAGATTGTGAAATATTCTCATCTGGTGACCTTTAAAATGATCTAGATGTTCATGTAACAGGGAAGGTTTAGGTATAATCCTGCCAAAGGATCTGACATTTCATTTCATTCCACTGCATTCTATTCCATATCACTGAACAAACACTCATTAAAGCACATGGTTGCTGTGAAGAATACAGAAACTAATCATATATGGAATCCTTCTCAAGAAGCTCACATTCTAGCACATCAAATAAATTAACAGAAAACATGTGATCATTATACATGGAAAACTAGGGCAAATGGTACAGAGAGTTGAAAATAGTGATTTGTTTTAGCAAAGGAAATAAGGTGGGAAAATGTCTGATATGTCATTTGTTGGATCACGTGTTGTAGTTATAGCACATCAGTGTTATGTTAAATGCTGGAGGATTAAAGCCTGGTTGTAGAAATCTTGTATATAAGAATCAGGCATCTGTAGTTATCCTATGAGTAAGAGGGAATCATTATTGATGAGAAATTAAACTAAAGAGAGCAGTAACTTAGGAAAATTTATCTTAATATTTAGGAAGACACATCTTGTAAAATAAATGAGAACACAGAGAAACAGGATGCCAGAAAACATGTTAGGAAGATATTGCAGAA